AATCTAGAATTACTGTAACTTTGGTTTGTATCTCTAAATCTTCTACATCATTTAAAAGGCTAATGAATTAAAAATAATTATTAGTTTATGTTCTGGGTATCACATGTATAAAGATGTAAATTTATGACATCAACAACCAAAAGTACTGTGGATTGCACTGTAAAGGAGCAGAGTTTTTAAAGTTAAGTTAGTAGAAATTCAAACTAGTGTATATACTGTAGGTGCTAAATGTAATCTCCATAGTTGATAAGGGATTAATATGCAGAATAGATAGAGAAGTCCTAAAACTCAACAACGAGAAACAAACAACCTTATAAAAAAATGGGCAAAGGACTTAAAGAGGCGTTTCTCCGAAGAACACATAGAAATGGGAACAAGCCATTTAAAGATGCTCAGCGTCACTGGTCACCAGGGAAACGCCAATCTAACCATATCAGATCCCACCTCACACCCATCAGGACAGCTGCCCTCAAAAGCTCAGAAAACACAAGTGCTGGAGAAGGTGTGGGGACACTGGAGCCTTGGTCACCGCTGGTGGGAGTGTAAAATGGAACACTCACCGTGGAAAAGAGTGTGGAGGTGACTCAAAAAAATTTAACATATAGCTACTATATGACCCAGCAATTCCACCTCTGAGTTAGACAAGGTCTGACTTTTACATTTGCGAACTTGTTGCAACGGTGTTATTAACCTTTTTTGGTATCAGAGGGATTATTCATTGTGAATTTGTACCAACTGGACAAACAGTGAACCAAGTTTACTATTTGGAATTGGTGAGAAGGCTGCATGAAAAAATTAGACAAAAACGGCCTAAACTTTTCGCCAACCATTCATGGCTCTTGCATCACGAAATGCACCAGCTCACATGGCACTGTCTGTGAGGGAGTTTCTAGCCAGGAAACAAATAACTGTGTTGGAACACCCTCCCTACTCACCTGATCTGGCCCCCAATGACTTCTTTCTTTACACAAAGATGAAGGAAATATTGAAAGGGAGACACTTAGATGGCATTCAGGACATCAAGGGTAATACAATGACACTCTGATGACCATTCCAGAAAAAGAGTGCCAACACTGCTTTGAAGGGTGGACTAGGCACTGGCGTCGGTGCGTAGCTTCCCAAGGGGAGTGCTTCGAAGGTGACTGTACTGATATTCAGCAGTGAGGTGTGTAGCACTTTTTCTAGGATGAGTTCACAAACTTAATTGTCCAACCTCGTATGCCCCAAAGAATTGAAAGCAGGGTCTCAAAGAGACATTTGTACACCCAAGTTCATGACATCATTATTCACAAAGGCTAAAATGTAGAACAAACCCAAGTGTCCATCAGTGGATGAATGCAAAGCGAAATGTGGTCCATCCACACAATGCAACGTGATTCAGCCTTAAAAACTAAGGAAATCCAGACCTGCTACAACATGGATGAACCTGGAGAACATTATGGGTTAAGTGAGATCAGCCAGTCACAAAAGGACAAATACTGTGTGATCCCACTTATATGAGGTACATAGAGTTGTCAACATCATAGAGACAGAAAGTAGATGGCAGCGTCAGAGGCTGGGGGTGGGCGGATGGAAAGTTATTTTTTTAAAGGCAGAGTGATTCAGGTTTATAAGATGGAGTTACAGGGATGGACGGTGGTGATGGCTGCACAACAATGTGAATGTATTTAATGCCACTGAACCGGACAGTGAAAAATGCTCATAATGGTAAATTTTATGTTAAGTGTATTTTACCAGAATAAAAAGAGAAGGAAAACATGGCAGTAAACAGACTGTGAAAAGGAGGAGAGGGAACGTGTGTCGGCAGTGCAAACTGGTAAGTGCTGTGCATGTGTGCAAATGACCACGGAAGTATCCCAAGTGTCAATTTTGGGTTTACATGTAAATTTTGGCAAGTGCACTAGTAGGAATGAGGACAGACTGCAAGCGGAACCTCAACGAGCGGCCCTTTGTGAGCGGCTTCCTCCCGTTCGCACTGTAGTCAGCGTTCCTTCAGGGCTTCTCTCCTTTTATGGCTGAATACGATGCCATGGCGGATGGACCACTTTTGGTTTAGCCGCCCATCCGCCGGTGGACAGTTGGTGTGCCCGCCTTTTGGCAACTGTTGATAATGTTACACTGAAGGTTCGTGTATAAGCTTTCGAGTAGAAAGATGTTCTCTACAACCTAGTATTTTGTTGAGGGGTTTTTACATCTATGTTCATAAGGGATGTTGGTCTGTAGTTTTATTGTGATGTCTGTGTGTGGTTTGGGGGAAGAGATTAACAAGTGGCAAACAAATTAATTTTCCTAGACATAACCGTGGGTTTACTTCAACATCTATCAGAAAACTGCTGACTTTTAATTTGTGATAATAATATAGTTTCCTCTAAAATATATGCCAACGCATAGAAAGTTTTGAGTTAATGTCAGAGCGGGTGTGGTTACAGTAAAATCGTGGCTGACATCGTGGGACCCTTGCTGCAGGAAGAGGACGTGGGACTTGAGTGTCGCCACCGAGGGACACCGCCTTGCACGCGCTTGGCAAGTCTTCCTGAACATGGAGGAGTCCTCCCGCCCATGGAAACACCACCGCCCTGCCTGTCCCACCCAGATGTGGCCTTTGCAGGTGGGGTCCACTGAGGACCATGAGAGGCAGCCCCAGGGGCGGTTTTCCCCAGTGATGGGATCTAGGGGCCGGGTACAGGAACAGTGGGAACGTCTTTCTATTTAAGCCTGAAAACAGCCCAAGGAAGACGCAGCTTTCTCATTTTATCGATGAGAACGTGGGGCTCATTGGTCACGGAGCCGGTGAGAAGGTGCTAGAGGGAGGGCCTGAACTTACGTCTCCCAGGCTCCTTGCTGTCACGTGACAGGGAAAGGCAGGGGTTGCAGGCGACAGGCTCGCGCTGACAACAAGAGGGTGAGGAGCCGTCAGCTGGGTCACTGAACTTCGGGCTTTTTCCAGGGTGGCACAGGAAGGAAGGAAAGTCACTAGGTCGCCAGTGAAGACGGTGCAGGACCTTGGCTGGAAGGGCCCGCGCTGTGTGAGCTGCCTGTGGGGAGCTAACGCAGTCCCCCTCACAAACACACAGACCTGGGGCTTCCTGTGTCGCCTCGGCTTCAGTGGCTCCACTGCACAGGAAGCCAAGTGTCACCAGGACCAGCCTCTCCAAGGGCAAAGAGAGCCTTCTGTCGCACTCCACACGCGGTGGAGACTGTTTTCCTGCAGCACGGGTGACAAGGCCCCAACAAGCAGACGCTGTGAGTGGGGGTGGCTAGGGCAGAGGTGCGGGACGTGGGATCGGGGTGGGGGACAAAAGCCAGCCCTGAGAGCAATTAGTAAATGCAATGGACAGCGGGCAGAGGGAACCTGAGCTCACCGAGGCCAGGCCCTTGAGAGAGGGTGGCATACAGACACACACCCACATGACGCGAGGGCAGCAGGGGACGCAGAAAGGAACGGGGGACACGGGAAGCTACAGCACAGACAGGGGAGGGTCCTGAGGCCACTGCGAGGAAGTCACAGCTGTGTCGACATCTCCGTGCCATCGGCAGGACAGCCAGGCTCAGCAGGAACAGCAGATGCAAAGCTCTCTGATCTTGTGCCAGAGAACAGTCTAAAAGGAGGTCGGGGACCTGCCGTTCCCTCTCTGCACGTTCCCTGCCGTCAGCACAAACAAGAGGACAGCAACGGGCAGCACACAAAGCGCTGACCACTGGCCAGACCACCTGAGCGCCCTGCGTGTGTCGCCCACTTGCCTCATGGTGACTTGCTGGGCGAGTGCGTGAGGGACAGCAGGCCTGGCCGTGCCTCGGGACCCTGCCCCTCGCACTTACCAGGCCGGGCGCTAGTCTCCAGCGTCCCCGAGGGCCTTGCGCGTGGACATCGCTGCAGCAACTTCTAGTCCCTGCTCAGGCTGTCCCCCCTGCAGAGCCACCCTGCTCCCCCAGAGAGACCGAGGCCTTACTCCCTCCTCCCAGCAGCGACTATGGTACTGTGACTGCTGCTGCGCGGTGTCCCCATGGCCACTCTGCTCCTGGAGGGTGGTCAGTGCCCTCTGTGCACACAGAAGGTCCACTTGGGGCAGGAGGGACAGTCGTGACCACGTCAATCAAAATGCCATTTTCTGAACATCCAGCTTCACCTCAGTGGTTCTTTCCTTCAGTACAGCTGACCCTTGAACAACATGGGTTTGAACCTGTACACAGACTTTCTTCAATAAATGCCTGTGTGTTTTTGATCCGCGGTTGGGAGTCCGCAGACATGGGGGGCCGACTGTGCATGGATCTGTGCCATTCGACGTGGGGACTTGAGCACCGGGGTGCTGATCCCTGCAGGGGGCCTGGAACCCAACCCCTGTGGGTTCCCAGGGACAAATGAAGTTTTGGGGGAGTCAAGTTATATGTGGATTTTCAACTGTGCGGGGGGTCATCCCATGTTGTTCAAGGGTCAACTGTGTTATTTTGAAACGTTAAGGGTTTCCAAATTTAGAGATGAGAAAACGAGTCTCAAATGCGGCTCTGAGCAGCTCAGCGTCCCGCTCTGACACGACAGCAGGGTGTCCCTCCCTTTCAGCCATGAACCCACTTAGTCATTTATTCTCATGTGAGACGACACTGTTCTACTCACAGCACACTGGGCATCAGAGCCACCGTCAACCAAAGGAATGATTTAAAGCTAACATGTTTTTCCAACCCTGAAAAGACAGTGCAAAACATACCAGCAACCTAAACTGTCATTTTTGAGTTACTGAATTAACCTGCTTGCAGTTAAAATTCTGAAAGGATCAATATTATTTTCTCCTTAGTACCTAAAAATCAGAAGTCAACCCTATTTAAAGTGGAAAACGCAGTGTAGGTGTCTGTAAGCCCTGATAAATTGATGTGGACCAAGCAAACGTTCCTGTTCCTACTCTCAGCCCAGGCAAAACACCAGAACCACGAGGCTCTGATGGCAACACCGAAAACCGCACGCACGGAGAGTGAGCACCCAACGGGGCGCCTGTCCTGCTCGGTACCTCGTTTCTGGATGAAGACCCTGAGCAGAGGGTTTGCACTCGAGACGGCCTTGCAGAAGTTGTCATCGTTGTTGATGGGCAGCAGGTCACCGTGCACGTCCGCGTACCCGATGGTCACCTCGGTGTTGGCGATGTGGTGGGTGTGTACGACCAGCTTGTAGAAGTCTTCAAACTTCCCCGGCTTTTGTCGGTCTAAGGAGAACCTTCGGAACTCAGCCCCAAACTACAACGCAAGACACGGGGGTGAGTGAGCAGCGGGGACAGCCACCAGAGACAGGCTTGTTGCCTTAACAAAGTGTGTCCTGAGCCCCCACAGGCCTGGGACACAGCAGTGACCAGCGTGCCCATCCTCAGGGAGCTTCCGCCAGCGCACTAGGGACCAGCACGTCCTGAGGTCAGGACAGGCTCAGGAGGAGGAAGGTCAAAATCAATTGTAAGCACCAGCTGAGGGCCCCAGGCAAAGGTCCAAACCACCCTGAGGCAGGTCAGACCCCCAGAGGCAGGAGACAGGCAAGGACATTGGAGACTCTGGGCTGTGTGCTGAGGGCAAGGAAAGGGCTGGAGCAATTTTAAGCAAGGAAGTGACTTGATATGATTTGCATTTCAAACTGACCAAGTGGCACACTTCAAAAGGATCAACATGCAAGCAAAATGCGAAGCCCAAAGGAACTTGGAAACAGGGAGCCTCACCACAGTCAGGGCTCTGGGCTTTCCCAAACACAGAGCAGTCTCTTCAAACACGAGCATTCACTCGTCCTGCTTTGGGGAACACCCGGCCCCGGCCCAGGCACACACGGAGTGGACTACAGAGCTCTAGGCCACCTGTGACAAGAGGACCCTCTGTCACCTCTCATGGGCTGAACTGTCCAGGGACCTTAGGACACCACTTCTGTTTGTCTGGCTCAGGACACGCTGTTGTTCCCCACCTGGCAACGGGACCTTAGTCACCAGGCAGGACAGATGCTGTGCTCGTCAATGGAACCCAAAACAATTCTATTGGTTCCAAGATACACAAAAATGAAATGTGTAATGTTTACACATATCTAGTCATTATAACATCTGCAGGTGATGTCAACCAGTCAAGGGCAAGTCAACTCAAAGCACACAGGCTGGCTTGGCCCTCAGCTCAGGACAGGCAGCAGTCACCTGCCGGCCCCCAAGCTCTGAGCTCTGGAATCAGCAGTCCAGGAGTTCGCATCTGTGACGAGTCCCCAGAAGAAGCTGATGCTATGGGCCTGAGGACCACACACACCAAGCCACTGGTTCAAGGGAATTAGTCTCCAGACCTCAACTTGCACAGAGCCCTGGGAACCAGTACCCTGTCCCCGTCCCTTTTAAAAAGCAAAGGAAACCAAGTCCTCACGCACCCAGCACTGCCCCAGGCACACAACCTGGGACAAGGCAAAGTACTGCTTTGGGAAAAGCCACGTGGATGGCTCCCCAAGGCTCCTGAAGCCAGGGGACGAGGGCTCTCAACTCAGCAGTGAGTGTGTGTGTGTGTGTGTGTGTGTGTGTGTGTGTGTGTGTGTGTGTGTGGCGGGAAGGGGGGGGCAGCAGAGCTCCTGGCTGCCTGACCTGGAGGTGCGGCCTATGCCACACAGCAGAGCCCCCACGATTTAAGATAAGCAGCGTTTCCTTTCTCGGTGTTTATCCCAAATGTGCACTGCTGGCTGGCCCACACAGGCTACAGAACTTTTTAAGACACAAGAGATCAATCCTACAAGTGAGCTGGATGTGACTTTTTCCAGATTCGGTTATCCAGTCACATCACGTATGTTTATTTCAATAACAGTCAACCATCACCTTTCCCATGTCACGTATCTAACATATGCTAACTCTCACAGGAATTCGTTTTTAATCAGTATGAGCCTTCTCCACTACAACTAAAGAGTTTAATCAAGCATGATAAAACTGTTAATAGCAAGAGTGTTTCTGACTTTGGATACACTTCATAGTTGCATATTCCCCCAAACAGACACATCACGTTTCTTTTCGTATGAGGGATTCAAGCTCCCCTCCCCCGTCCTCACACGCCTGCCGGGCCTGTGCCACAGCCGGCAACCTCGGGAACGGCCAACAGCAATCACCACACAGGTCGGATCCGCGATGTGCTAGTCACAACTGCATTTGGCACTTGATCTAAGATGCACCTCAATTTGTTTCTCAGTTCTTTTCAAAATTTTCCTCAAAATACGTCTTAACATGTTAATTTTTCAAATTTATTTTTAATTTAAGTTCAGCTGGCATATAATCTCATATTGGTTATGTTAGTTTCAGGCATGCAAGCTAGTGATTTGAAATGAAAATGAATTCAGACTTTTTCCTGACAGAGAGCAACTCTAACTTGCTGGATAATGAGTCCAGCTCTGTCAGTCAAGCCGTGCAGGGAACATGTCAGGTGAGCTCCAAAGTTTGGAAAAAGGTGTGAAATATGGTATGCTACAAGCATTTTTTCCCTAATTTTTAATTGTGCAAAAATATAGAAAACATAAAATTTACCATCTCAACCATTCCTTTGAACATTTTTTTTTTCATTTACAGTTCACATTCAACATTATATTAGTTCCAGGTGTACAGCGTAGTAGTGGTTAGACATTCATGTAACTTATGCAGTGACTCCCCCTTACCCCGAATAGTCTAGTCCCCGTTGACATCATACACAGTTATTACAATGTTATTGACTATACTCCCTGTGCTGTAGTTCAACCAATTTGTGCTTCTTCGTTGTTTTTTTTTAAAGATTTTATTGAGGAATTGGGAGGAGGGTAACAGCGTTGGGGAATCGGGGAAGGGGAACAGACAGGTAGACAAATTGCTGTTTTGTTCTTCAGTCTAGTTGTGGAGGACGTCGCTTCACTGGCCCATGTTGGTATTATCA